TACAGGTTTGTACTATAAGTGTATATACTTACTATTAAACTAATGTAATTTATGTTAAACTATTAAATAATAATAAATAGCTGGGCAAGAAGAATATGGTTTGTGTTAGTAAATAAGAATTAAACGATGATAGATTGACATACTAGTGTCGTTGCGAGACCAATTTTACGTGAAAGGCGACGCATTTATTTTGGTATATTCCATTGACAATTTAAACTCATTTCATTCGTTAAATATTCACTATGAAACAATAGCGGGCCTTCGAAAAGGGAAAAAAATGGCTGTAGTTCTTGTTGGTAACAAATGTGATTTAGAGGCCCAGCGGGCCATTCAAAAATCCGACTTACAGCAGCTGTCAGAGAAGTTTAATAATGCCCCCTATTATGAAACATCCGCTCAAAATAATATCAATGTAAAAGAAGTCTTTGAAACGATAGCAAGAGAGACTTTGAAAAACGCGGCCGAAGAGGCTGCAACACAGACAAAGACGATTCAAAGTAATCATCCCAGTCAAGTGACGGAATCTGAAAGAGGTGGGTGTTGTTACATCCTTTAATTCTCATTGAATAGTTTATTTAATTGTTTTTAGATAGTAAATAGAATTACTGTGTTTATTTTAGAACTAATCTTTTGTAATAATAATATAATATAATATAATATAATATAATATAATATAATATAATATAATATAATATAATATAATATAATATAATATAATATAATATAATAAAAAGTACTAATAAGTAGTATATAACAATAAATTTATGAACTTCAAAATAACGAGTGTATTATATAAAATAATAGTAAATATAAATGAATTAAATAACAAATAATCTTCATTCCATTGATGAAGAGGAATCAGTAAACTTCTCAACATTCGGCCTTGATAACAATTGAGCACCAGAGTTGTTTCGTTCAGAAGTGTGTTGGAATTGAATAGGTGAAGCTCTAGTAGAATCATTAGCAAGTAAATTGACCTTTATCTTTGGACTTAAAGATACAGAATTGTCTTTGTCAGATTTAGATGAACTTGAAGAAGATAGAGAGGACGTTGAAGAGGACATGATAATTTTCTTGGTATGAGCAAGTCTACGTAACTCTTCCACACAACCAGATTGTTGTACAAGTCCATGAAAGAGTGTGTCTTTCTCTTTAATTAAATTAAGTGGAGTGTCCATTTCTTTTAATTTTCCTTTATCAAAGACCATCACTTTATTTGAGTCCATAATAGTCTGTAATCTATGTGCTACAGTGATCACAGTAATGTCTTTAAAGTTCCTTCTGACCATCATTTGAATAT